CAAAGAAGAAACCTCAAGGCCATATATATTCTACATAATATATATACATATATATGCTAAATATATGTAGTAACAAAGTTTTTCATGATTGGGTTTCAGTTGGACAAAGTTCCGACACCCATTCCTTCACCAGTGTACATTTAAATGAACAAATGAGGCTTGCTCTTTAAGCCCACGTTCTCTCTCTCCTTCTCTCTCTCTCTCTCTCTCTCTCTCTCTCTCTTTCTCTGCCTTTTGGGTCACACCCAGTGATCCAGCAATGCTCAGGGGCTACTCCTGGCCTTGCATTCGGGAATGGGATGACGGGGGTCAAACCCAGGTCAGCCACATGCAAGGCAAACGCCCTCCCTGCTGTGCTATTGCTCCAGCCCCCATGTTCTCGCTTGAACAAGTATCTCGCTTGCTTCTCGCTGTCTCTGTCTCTGTCTCTGTCTCTGTCTCTGTCTCTGTCTCTGTCTCTCTCTCTCTGCTTGCCTATTTGCACTTTGGACAAGCCTGTGCTGTCTCCTGAGCACATATTTTCACTTTCTCTCCTCTCACATTTTCTGAGCAAGTTTCATTTTATAAAAACTATCTCGCTTCACACCGAAAAAAATACCCCAAACTGAATCATCATCAACGACAACAACAACAACAACAAAGGAATGGGACATCAGTATCTTTGGGATGCTGCAAAAGAAAAAAAATCCTGGCAATTTTACAGCACTGTTGACACATATTAGAAAAGAACCACACTCTGCAGATTAACTTCAAAATAAGAAGAAATTATTCATTAACTTTTAATAATTAATAAGAATGCATAGTCAAATCAATAAAATTGGAATTATGAACTCAATAGGAATTAAAAAACCAATAAAGCCCAAAGCTGACTCTTTGGAAAGATCAATAAAATTAAGAAGCCTGTAGCAAGGATAACTATATTCAACTGAATTAAAAATATGAGGCTACAATGACTGACATGGGAGATGGGAGACAGGCATCACTACAGAGCCCAGGATCCAAGAGCGTCACAAGGGGCCGGAGAGATAGACTAGCAGGCAGGAGATTAGCCCTGCACGCAGACAACCTGGGTTTGATCCCTGGAACCCCCTGTAAATGGTCTCTGGAGCCTGCCAGGAATGATTCCTGAGCACAGACCCCGGAGCAATCTGTGAGCACTGGCAGCTGTGTCTCAGAGGGGGAGCCCCAGGAGGTGCCCCCTCTCCCCCTCCACAGGGGGCAGTGCTCCCTCTCTGGAAGCAGGTGCTCCACCTCTCTGGCCCTGGGTTGTGCTGGTCCTTTTTGAAGTTTCCTGAGTCTCACTGTTCAGGAGTCCGGAGGGAGGTTTCAGGATCAATGAAATCCTTGGCCTTCGGTGATCAATTAACCCTGACGATTGGCCCTCCCGAGCGCATCTCCAAGCACAGAGGAGAATCTGTCAACCACCTGCTAGGGTGTAGGAAACACGGACACTTCTTTTAGGAAGAAACAAATCTAGGAACGTTCCATCACCAGGGGAAGAGGAACTATAGAAAACCAACAAAAATGAAAGCACAGGGGATTTCACTCAATCCCAAAGAACTTGCCACAGGGAAGGTGTTAAATACCAACAAGATGTTTTTTTAGAAAGAGAGAGAGAGAGAGAGAGAAAAAAAGAAAGAAAGAAAGAAAGGAAGGAAGGAAGGAAGGAAGGAAGGAAGGAAGGAAGAGGGAATGGAAGGAAGAGGAAAGAAAAAGAAACGAAGGAAAGAGAAAGAAAGAAAGAGAGAGGGAGGAAAGGAAAAGAAAGGAAGGAAAGATAAAGAAAGAAAGAAAGAAAGAAAGAAAGAAAGAAAGAAAGAAAGAGAGAGAAGAAAGAAAAAAGGAAGGAAAAAGACAGAAAGAAAGAAAGAGAAGAAAGAAAAAAGGAAGGAAAGAGAAAGAAAGAAAGAAAGAAAGAAAGAAAGAAAGAAGGAAGGAAGGAAGGAAAGAAAGAAAGAAAGAAAGAAAGAAAGAAAGAAAGAAAGAGGGAGAAGAAAGGAAGGAAGGGGGAGAGAGGAAAGGAAAGAAGAGGAAAGGAAAGGAAAGGAAAGGAAAGGAAAGGAAAGGAAAAAGAAAAATCCAAAGCTCTGAAATTCTGCTTCTGGATCTCCATTTAGGGAACCTCTTAGGGGGAAAAAAAGTGAGAAGAAACATTGAGGCGAACGTAGCCAAAAGACTTACGAACCCGAGAGTCTCAGACAGACCTGACTGAGAAATTCCGGTAAGGACCAGTCATAGTTTTCCGGGAAACTGGAGCAAATATCAATCACGTTTCGTTTCCGCACACTCATATCCAAGTTGGAACACGTCCTCACCTTTCTCGGGAACCCGCTGGCGTCATTCTTCAAAATCACCCCGCAGCGAAGGGAGCGGATTGAGGCGAAGGGAGCGGATTGAGGCGGCCAGCCTGCTGCAGGGTCAAGTCCGCCCCCCGAGTGGTGATCCCGCTGCCCTGCGCCACTCTCATCCGTAGAACTCATCCTTCCCGAGTGTCCTGGGGTGCTGGAGAGCGTGCCCGGGTCTGTGCTCGCCCACGGGGCCCCCGCCCCGGCATCTGCTCTTTGCTGGGTGCTGCAGCCCCATTTCAGCCTGAGACCCCGCTCTTGGCCGCCCCGGGCGCGTCTTGGTACAGAGCCCCTGGCAACTGTCAATACCAAGAATGTGAACAAGAGATCGGAGAAGAGGCCGTTCCAGACACCACCTTCTTAATTTTTTGGATTTTGGGTCACACCCGGCCATGCTCAGGGGTTCCTCCTGGCCCTGCACTCAGGAATTACTCCTGGCGGTGCTCGGGGGACCCTATGGGATGCTGGGAATCGAGCCCGGGTTAGCCACGTGCAAGGCAAATGTCCTCCCCACTGTGCTGTTGTTCCAGCCCCAAAGGCCAGTCTCTCTTTCTGGCCTCCCACCCCCGACCTGGCCCAGGTTCTCCTGGCCCAGTTTTATTCCCACGCTGTTTCTCTTCCACCCAGAATTCCTGCTCTAAGTCTTCTACCTGAGAGCAGATGATTTCCTCAGGATGAGTTTGAACCACAAGGTGAGCTGATGGGCGTTTCCAAGAGGGAGCCCCAGCGCCCGGTGGCCCTGCCTCTACCCCCCACTGCAGGGCCTGAGATGAGCCTCACCTCTGCCCAGGCCTACACGGCTGAGAAGGCCCTGAAGAGCCCTCGCCTGGCACATAGCTGAGGCTACTCTGTTCCTGGCATCCCATATTGTTTCCCGAGACTGCCAGGAGTGATCCCTGAGTACAGAGCCAGGAGTGAGTCTTGAGCATCACCAGATGTAGCCCACAAAACAACCACGCCTCCCAAGAATAATTTTTTAAAATTTCTTGGTCCTTCTCTTAAACATCTGTGGCCCCTTGGCCTGACAGTACTCAAACAAGTTGGACAGGGTTCTCTCAAGTCAACAGGATGAGATCACACATCCTTCTCTCCCGGAAGGGAGCATAACGTGACGCTTGCCATAACCATGCCATCGGACCCTGTGCCAGACTGTTTCGCTTGGGGCGCCCCAGAGGGGGGTGGGTGAGACCCCTCCCCACCCCAAGGGATCCAGCCCAGGCAACCGAAAACCTCCAGAACTCAACTGACACCACACTCAAGGCCCTCCTGACACACTCGGGCCGAGCCTTACCAACAAATGAACCTATTCCTGGACCACACGGCCAGCGCTTCATACCACACACCCTGCCCATACTCCAAGAGCACTGTGCCACATTCTATGGGGTTCAAAGTAGGAGGCAACCAAACTTGAGGGAAATATAATTTTTTTACAGATAGAGAAATATATATATATACATGCCTCTCACGGGCTGGAGTGATAGTACAGCAGTAGGGCGTTTGCCTTGCGTGCAGCCAGCCCGGCCAAGCCGGGTTCGATTCCTCCGCCCCTCTCAGAGAGCCTGGCAAGCTACCGAGAGTATTCAATATGCCAAACACAGTAACAAGAAGTCTCACAATGGACACGCTACTGGGCCCGCTCAAGCAAATCGATGAACAACGGGAAGACAGGCAGACAGACAATGCCTCTCGGCGAGCCTGGCAAGGTACCAAGAGTATCCCCCTGCATGGGCAGAGCCTGGCAAGCTCCCGTGGCGTATTCGATATGCCAAAACCAGTAACTATAACAGGTCTCATTCCTCTGACCCTGAAAGAGCCTCCAATCGTTGAGAAAGACGCGTAAGGAGAGGCTGCTAAAAATCTCAGGGCTGGGACAAACAGAGATGTTACTGGCGCCCACTCGAATAAATCGACAAACAATGGAATGACAGTGATACACACACATATATATATTTCTATATATATATATATCTATATGTCTATATACATATATATATGCACACAAGACTCAACCTCTAACAACATGTTAGTGCTCTCTTGTAGAAGGGCTTAATGACTCCTAGGTGAAATACACCAATCTTCACACCCTTTCCTCTAAGGATACTTTTTTGTAGCATTTTCAGTGGTTTTTCATAACAAATAATACAAAACCAATTATTTTTGTTCTGCTTTGGGACAGGGATTGGGGTTTGGGATGGAAACACCTGAAATACGGTGGTGGGAAGGTGTCATGGTGGTGGGATTGGTGTCTGAATATGAAATGTAATCAAACCTTGTGAACTACTTTATAAAATTAAAAAATCATAAAAAAAATAAAATAAAACCAGCAGAATGGCCTTGACCCCCAAACCTGCGTGGCAGCCCAGGGCACTATCACGTTCCACAGGACACTGGCTCATTGTCATCAAGTCAACAGTCCTGGTGGCTCAGATACCCACAGGTAACCGCCATCCTTTTGTTTATGAATCTATGCCTTGGATGAAACTTTCATGGTGTCTACAGTGACAGCAAACGGGATGCCCCACCGCTCATGAAACTTTCATGGTGATCCGAGAGCAGCGGCTCTCAGAGGTCCCTGGGTAGGCGACAGGGGGCTGTGGCTGCAGACTGAGCCACAGCCGCGGGGCTGGCCCGGGCATCTCTGCGGCCGCCTCCACAATGGACAGGGAGGTGCCAGCCCAGGCGCTGAGCTCGCCCGGGCTGGATTTAGAGCAGATCCGGAGGGAAATCGCCCTTCTTGACCAGTGGAAGGACATCTTCAGTCACCCTGGGTAAGACGAACTCGCCTTCATGTTTCCCTGGGCCTAGAGGGAGTCCAAAAAAAAAAAAAAAAGATCTGCTCCGTGTGCCTGGGGGGTGGCCTTGCTGCCTCCGAGCTTCTACCGAACTTGCTTCCAGGACAAAACTGCAGACAGCGTCCACTCCTGGTGGGAAAAGAGTCTGGGGAAGCATCTGTCGGGGGCTGAGCCCAGAGTGAGGCCCCCAATGTTCTCTTTCATTCACAGGTTGGGAACCAGCAACGCTGCTCTTCAGGTAATACTTTCCTCAAAGCCAATGTATTCATCTCATGTCCCGGATCACAGTAGTAACATCCACTACATTTAATTCTGTGACCACACACACACAGAGAGAGAGAGAGAGAGAGAGAGAGAGAGAGAGAGAGAGAGAGAGAGAGAGAGAGAGAGAGAGAGAGCATTTCATGTGCTAACAAGTAAAACTAGAGAGCAGTTTGAAGATCATTTTAGGGGGCCAGTTTTTTTCTCCCATGGGAAAAAAACAGTCTCCGGCTTCTAAGAGAGACTTTTCATCATTAAGAGCCCCTGATGGTTATGACATTAGAAAGAAATAAGTCTAATATTCATATTTGAGTCCCTCCATTTGGCAAACAGCATTGGACACACGGGCTGGAGTGACGTTGGTGAACAGCAGTTTGGCCAATCGTCACTGAAGCCCCTTTCCCCATAGTCATTTTCAGGAGCTTAGAGGATGTTTTCTCTGTTGTTCAAATGATTCTCTTTCCGGGGGCTGGAGCGACAGCACAGCGGGTAGGGCATTTGCCTTGCACGCGGCCAACCTGGGTTCGATTCCCAGCATCCCATAGGGTCCCCCGAATACTGCCAGAAGTAATTCCTGAGTGAAGAGCCAGGAGGAACCCCTAAGCATTGCTGGGTGTGACCCAAAAAGAAAAAAAAAATCAAGTGATTCTCTTTGCAGGGGGTGGGGGTGGGGAGGAGCACGCCCGGGCTGCTCAGGGCTTCCTTGTGGCTTGGTGATTGGGGATCACTCCTGGCGGTGCTTGGGCCTACATGCAGTGCCAGAAATTGAACTGGGGTTGACCGCATGTGAGGAAAGCGGTGTCTGACCCCTGCCCATCCCTCCGGCCTCGAGGCTGCTGTCCAATCCAGCGAGAGCCCTCTGTTCCTGCTGCTGCCCGAAAGATTAAAACGGACTTTGTATCTCAGCTGGGAAAACCACCCCACCCCCGTGAAGATTAGGGCCATCTCCTGGCCCTCGTTTTGGCTCTGATCAAACTCCCGAATCATGAATATTTTAACTCAACCCCCGAAGCAGCTTATTCCAGTCACTGTGATCAGAAGCTGTTTGCAGGAGCAGGCGCTTACCCAGTCTAAATTAGAATCAGGGAGATAATGCTGCTTATCTCTGCTCCAGCCTCGGGGGGAGACAGGTAGCACTGGGAGGGGGGCAGAGAACAGTCAGAGATAAAACCATCCGTGACAGAAAAAATGTAAATAGATGCTTTACACGAGGCCGGAAACCCACTGCCACGCACACAAAGATTTTTCATTTGATTCCGATGAGGCTGTGGCTCTCCCCGCTGGCAGTCTGGGCCTGGGGGCTGTGCTTTCGCGATAAGCAGCACTTTTACCTTTAGGAGTGCAGAGAAACTAAGGCAGGGAGTTTCCAGGCACCGGTCTCCCAGGTTAGGGAGATGTGAGGCAAAATTCTGCTTCGATGCCTCCACAAACCGTTGGTTTAATCTGGGGAGCAGGTGTAAATAGTTTTTTCTTTTCCTTTGTTTTTCTTTTTGGGTCACACCCGGTGTTGCTCAGGGGTTACTCCTGAGGGCTCATGCACTCACACCTGGCAGTGCTCAGGGGACCTATGGGATGCTGGGAATCGAACCCGGTCGGCCGTGTGCAAGGCAAACGCCCTACCTGCTGTGCTGTCACTCCAGCTCCTAAAAAATTTTATAAAGGAAAGTTTCATTGTCACCTATTGTGTGTGTGTGTGTGGGGGGGCAGTTCTGCACTCCAAAGAGGTCCATGGCCGGTGGCTGCTGCTGGCCCCGGGAGAACAGACCTCGAGATAGCCTGGAACAGACTGCAAAGATGTTGTTTGGGGGACGCGGTGTCCTCTGAACCAGAGGCGGTGACGTGGGCGGCTGTGGGCAGGAAAGCTCATTTCCAGGCAAGGTCTCCGTGCCATTCATTATGTTTCCATAGTTACTGTCCACCTCGCCTCCCGGTCGGACAGCAAGCGCCCCTCGGTGCCCCCGGGGCCCTCCTGCCCCTTTTGATGACTTTCTCGGCTCTGAGAGGGAGACCCGGAGGGCAGCTGGGGGCGAGGGGCACGGCCAGCCTGCCTCGCTCTGTTCTGTGCCCAGACAGGATGCCGCGCTGAGCAGCCCGAGGAGGGGGCCAGAAGCAGGCCTCCCCAAGGTCAAGGCCAGCGGCCCCCCCGGAGACTCTGCCCTGTCCCCCAGCCCTCTGTCGGCCTTGCCACCTGGGGCGGTGCTCCCATCTCCCCAGCCACCACCATGGTGAGTCAGGCTTGTCAATTAAACATGAAGGAAACGTGATCCCCCCCAAGGCAGGCAGGGAAGGCGGATCGGGGTCCTGCCCGCACTGGAGGGGGGGGCGGGCACAGAAGGCAGGCGGGGACGGTGGCTCTCAGCTAAGGGCGGATATCATTAAAATGACTTATTTATGGCACTTTCCAAGGACACTGGTGACTCTTGTCATGCTTCTCCCTCCCCCAAATCCCAGTGTCTCTCTCTCTCTCTCCCTGTCTCTCTCTCCTCTCTCTCCCTCTCCTCCCCCCCTCTTCATGACAGTTCAAGGTTCAGCTGGAGCAATCCAAGGGGGCTTCTTTGCAGCAGGAGCTGGCTGGGACCCCACTAGCTGCTAGCTGGCAGAAGGGGATCCTGCCAAGGCTGGCACTCCCCTGGGGGTGCAGGAGGGAGGGAGAAGGAGTCCCCACATACCTCATGCTGGGGTGCAGAGGAGGCATTTGAGGGGCCAGGAGGATCTGGGAGCCCCTGGTCCTGGGAAAGGGGTCAAATGAGCTGTGCAGGGGAGGCGGGGGCACTGTGCGCTGGGCTGGAGGCGAATTTGCAGCTTCTCTGCAGATGCAAGTCCCAGGGTAGGGAGGCCCAGAGTGATGGTCCCCAGGCCGGGACTGATATGGAAATGGGGCCTGGGACAAAGCGCCCGCCTCCGGGAGTGCGCCCCCATTCAGCTGCCCCGTTCAGCCCCCGTCAGCTCAGTTTCAAGTCAGGACCTTTTGCCCATGTTGATCTGGAGGGACAGAGGACAAGTTCTGCCTCTGGGGTCTCCTGGCTGGGGGAGCCTCTCTGATCCACACTGGACACTCAGTGCCCCGAGGGCAGAAACGCGGCCTTGCCGGCAGGGCGGGGAAAGCCGGGGGAGGCCCTGTACCCTGGGCCAGGGAATACGGGGGGCCTCCAGGCAAGGGGACACCCAGAACAGGGAGCGGGGACCCCGACTCTGCACGGACAGGGCTGTTCTGCTGTCCTAGAGGTCCCCCCAGTGAAAGGGGATTGCTGCTATCATTCCTAGCTCTGGGCGGAGATCCCCACCCCGTTGTTCTTGGTAGTTGAACAAGGAAATGGGCCATCTTTCAAATGTCTGGTACAGGAATTTGGGGAAATATTCTAATTTTATTTTGGAATTTGGGGGGTACGCCCAGGTCTGTGCTCTGGTGGTGCTTAGGACCACACACGGTCCTGGGGATGGGATGAGGTGGGCTGCAGGGAAGGGACCAGCGCCCTAAGCCCTGCGCTGCCTCTCTGGCCCGGGGGTTCTCGCTGCTCCCCTGTTCCACTCAACCCTGCTCCCACCGATTTCCCACGCAGGACTCTGGAATGCATGCGGGTACACACACACACACACACACACACACACACACACACACACTCTTACACTCTCATAGTCACAGACTTCCACACTCACACACACACACAGACACATACATGCACTCTCACACTCACATACCTACTCACTCTCACACATACCCTCACACCCACACACTCTCATGCACTGACACTCATTCTCACACACTCACACATTGTACACTCTCACATATCCATACACACACTGTGTCATACCATCACACACACTCTACTCACTCTTACACACACATACTCTCACACTCACGTCATTCGCCTACATACACTTGCTGTGAGACATTCTCACACTGTCACACACACTCATACACAGTCACCCACTCACACACGCTATCCCTGTCACAGTCACACGCAAACACTCACATACACTCCCACACCCTCACACACACAGCCTCACAGACTGACACTCCCACACTCCCCCGTGCGCAGGCGTAGCCCTGCTCACCCTCCCCGCCCGGTGCCTGCATCTGAGCACTCGCTGTCTCTGTCTGATGCCCAGGCTCAACCTCCCAGCCAGAGCCTCTGGGGGTCGGACACCCTAGCTCAGGGGCCATCTCTGCAGGGGGGGGAGGGGGGCGTGCTCTGGGGCCCAACTGCACCCTGGTCCCGACCCTGGCTGTGGGGGCAGAGCCACCCTCACCGTACCACCCCAGCGTTTCCTTCCAGAAGCTTCGGCAGAGTCTCCTGGGGAGCTCGCTCGGCGCCTTCAGTGCGGACTGGGAGCAGGCCTGCTTCCGCTTCCAGCGCCCAGCCTCAGCCCTGGCCTTCGCGCTGCAGGTGGGCAAGGTGAGAGCCAGTGGGCACCCGGGGCCCTCTCCACACTGAGCTTCATGACCGCTCACTCCACACCACTGGGCCCCCACGTGGCTGGGGGTCACTCAGGACAGTGAAGTGCAGGGTGGCACGCGAACAGAGAAGCAGGACCCTGCGGTCCTGAGTTCTGACTGCAAACCAGCAGTGGCAGGTTGAGAAAACCCGTTTGGAAACGCGCTAACAAGCTGTCCTAAATGCATGCGCCCACAGGGCCAGGGTCAGCTCGACGGGCTGAACGAAACCCGTGCACGCCCGAGGCCCAGGTTCAAAGCCCAGAGCCGACGGTGCCCAGAGCACCGTCCTAGGAGCAGCCCTGAGCAATACCAGTTGTGCCTCCCATCAGTTAATAAAAGGGGGGCGGTGGAGGGAAACTAGAGCAGGTAAGGCCCTTGCTTGCACGACGCCAACCTGGGTTTGATCCCCAGCACCCCGTGTGGGCACCTGAACACCCCCAGCCAGGCATGCCTGAGCAGAGCAGGTATGGCCCCAAACAACAAAATAAAACACGAAGCAAAAATGTCAGGTACGCCCGAATTATAACACAATTCCCAATTCCCACTTTGCAGTTCCTTTTTTTCCTGGCTCTCGTCCCCGTGTTCTCAGCATCCTCAAGATTCAACTGTTACTCCAAGCCCTTTTTGTTTTAATTTGGGCCTCGCCGGTGGTGTCGTCCTGGCTTAATTCTCAGAGATCGCTCCTGGCAGAGCTCAGGGGACCGTGCAGTGCCGGAGATCAAACTAGGGCCTCCCTGAGGGGCCGAGAGGTGTATGACAGCAGGGTGCCCGCTTTGGGCCACACCCGGGGGTGCTCAGGGCCGGATCCTGGCTCTGTGCTCAGGATCACTCCTGCTGGGGCTCTCGGGACTCTATGTTGGGCCAAGGATCGAACCCGTGTCAGCCTCAGGCAAGGCAAGCACTTTGCCCACTGTACCATTGCTCCAGCCCCCAAAGGAAAAATACATTTTCTTGTTCTCTTTTTCCTTCACTCTCAAGGCCTTTGGTAGACGTCTAGGTTGGCCTCAACCTCATAGTCCTGCCCTTGCACAACTTTTCAAAGAAAATGCTGGAGCCCAGACCAGACCAGAAAGAGGGGGCGGTGGGGGGAGAACCTGGCAGGAGAGAGAGTACAGCATTTTTTAAAATTTATTTATTTATTTTTATTAAAAATTTTTTTAATAGTGAGACATCATGAGGTACAGTTGCAGACTTACACATTTTTGTGCTTGGGTTTCAATTATAAGGTAAGGTAAGGTATACAATTATCAAATACCCATCCCTCCACTGGTGCCCATTTCCCACCACCACGGATTTCAGTATCCCTCCCACCCCCCATCCCCCCCATCCCACCCTGCCTCTGTGGCAGGGCATTCCCTTTTGTTCTCTCTCTCTCTCTCTTATTGGGTGTTGTGGTTTGCAAAAGAGGCAATGGGTGACAATCATGTTTAGTCTATAGTCTACTTTCCGCATGCTTCTCCCATCCTGGGAGGATCCTCCCAACACCTTTATTTGGTGCTCCCTTCTCTAACTGAGCTCCCTTTTCCCCTAGCATGTGTGGTTGGCCTCCAAGCCATGGAGTAAAATTCCTGGTACTAATCTCGGCCATTCTTGGGTGTTAGTCTCCTATTTTGTTACTTTATGTTCCCCAGATGAATGCAATCTTTCTATGTCTGTCCCTTTTTTTTTTAATCTTTTTTTTTATTATTAGTGAAACACCATGAGGTACAGTTGTAGATTTACAAATCTTTGTGCTTGGGTTTCGGTCATACCATGATCAAATACCCATCCCTCCACCAGTGCCCATTTTCCACCACCATGGATAATATCCCTCCCACCCCTATCCCCCCCATCCCACCCTGCCTCTGTGGCAGGGCATTCCCTTTTGTTCTCTCTCTCCTTTTGGGTGTTGTGGTCTGCAAAAGAGGCTTTGAGTGGCAATCCTGTTTGGTCCATAGTCTACTTTCAACATGCATCTGCCCTCCTGGGAGGATCCTCCAAACACCCTTTATTTGGTGCTCCCTTCTCTATCTGAGGGGTCACAACTGCCACACTCACATGCAAGGCAAGTGCCTTAACTTCAGGGCTATCTGTCTGGCGATAGCACAGCAGTAGGGCGTTTGCCTTGCACGCAGCCAACATGGCCAACCCGAGTTCGATTCCTCCGCCCCTCTCGGAGAGCCTGGCAAGCTCCCCGTGACGTATTCGATATGCCAAACACAGTAACAACAAAGTCTCCAGTGGAGATGTTACTGGGCCCCGCTCTCTATCTGAGCTGCCCTTTCCCCTAGAATGCCCGGCTGGCCTCTAAGCTATGGAGTAATCCTCCTGGTGCTGATCTCAGCTATTCTTGGGTATTAATCTCATATTTTGTTACTTTATATCCCCCAGATGAATGCAATCTTTCTTTGTCTATCCCTCTCTTTCTGACTCATTTCGCTTAGCATGATACTTTCCATGTTGTACCACTTGTATGTAAATTTCATGACTTCATCTTCTCTAACAGCTACATAGTATTCCATTGTGTAGATGTACCAAAGTTTCTTTAACCAGTCATCTGTTCGTGGGCAGAGAGTACAGCATTTAAGGCGACTGCCTTGCATCCTCCCGACGCTGGCTCGATCCCAGGCACCACAGACGGAGCTTGAGCACTGCCGGGATCATCCTGAGCACTGTGCCAGGAACAGCCCTGAGCACTGCAGGGTGTGGCGCCATAATAGTCAATAGTGCCACTGATCACCAAGGCCACCCGTGTCAAGGGCGAGCCAAGCAGGCCCAGCACTCGCTGACCTCCGACCTGGCCCTGGGGCAGGACACGGAGAGGAGAGGGAGGGGACGGCGGTCTCCGGCTGGGGACACGTTCGGGGTCTCCCGGGGATGCCCGACACTGTGGAGAGAGCAGTGGCCCCCCGCCCCCTTCCCGGCCTGTCTGTGCTGAGGCAGGACTCGCCGAGCTGGGAAGAGCGAAACCCAAGCACGTTCACAAGCGCAGTCGGGTCCGAGCCCGCAGGGGGCTGACCGGGGTTCCGAGGCCGCAGAAAGCAGAAGAGCTGGCCAGGGCTCCCCCGGTGGACAGGACGCCGGGCATCCCTGACATTCCGGGCTGTGTGGGCACGCCTGCCCCTGGGGCCATGCGGCACCCCAGAGCCCCGTCCCTGGCCTGCTCATGCCTCACTTTGCCTGTGCTGGGCCGCAGGGAGGGGCCCGGAGTGTCCAGATGGCCGTCCAGGGCTTCATCGTCAAACACCTGCTGTTCCCTGCGCAGGGCAGCGGCGACGCACACAGGTAAGCCTGGCGGACTTCCGGAGGAGACACAGCGGGCTAGATGCTCCCCCTCCCCCCACAGTCCTCCAAGCCCTGCCGTAAGTGACCCCTGAGCACAGGGCCAGGCGGAAGCCCTGAGTAGCACCAGGTGTGGCCCCCAAGCAGAAGTACTAAGATGAACAGACAGAAGGGCACATCCTCTCCCCAGAAACTTCCTCTGAGGCATGCACCCCCCAGGATGTCCCCGGGGCTGCCACTGGGGACAGCTTGGAGGTCCCAGACCTTTAGTGCCTCAGGCTGGGCGGAGTCCTGGAGTCATTCCAACCTCCAGGCGCAGGAATTGAGTTGACGGTCTGCCCCACCCCCACTCCCAACCAGGGGGACCAGGGGACGCTCAGCAGTACCAGTTCATCGGGGGAAACCAGGTGCCGGGAAGGTCCCACCCCACTCTGAGGAGGCCCGGGGCGTGGGGGGGGGGGCCCAGGGAAGCCTGAGCCAGGAGGAGCCCCCCCCACCACCCCGTTAAACCAGAGTGGGCAGCTGCCGGAAAATCCCTTTCAAACTGCTACTTCCCTTAAAGGGAACGCAGAGAACGGCTGGTGTTAGCTGGAGGGAGGAGAGGGGGTCTCCGAGTGGGGGCTGGGGCATGGGGGGCCCAAGAGGAGGGGGTGCAGTGTGCCTTCTGTGGAGACCAGAGCATGTGGGTCGCACAGCTGTTGGCGCTGAGCGAGGGGTGACAAACGGCACAGCAGCCAGAAGCACCGGCACTGTCAGTGTGAGGCCAGCGCAGGGCACCTTCCAGAACCTTCTCAGTCCCATGGGCCACCCTCCCTCCCTCCCTCCCTCCCTCCTGTCGGAGATGCCTCATCCTGGCAGACACCTCCCATGAGGGGTTTCGACTGAGGTCAACCCCAGGTCTCAAAACCTTGCTGAGAGGGGGGGGGGGGGGGGCGGGGGGGAAGAGACAGAGGGAGGCGAGTGGAGACGGACACTCATGGCCCAGCAAGGCCCGGTAGAGCCTCGCCTCGCCAGCACTCACGTCCCCGAGGTCACCCATTCAGAGCAGGGGAAGGGCAGGGAGAGCTGCCCGCCTCGGCCCTCCCCACCCCCCGTCCCTGGGCCCCTGAATGCGCCTGAGACATCGGAGCGAGACTGCCGAAGGGATGGGCGAGGGCAGCGGCAGGATGAGGAGACACTTGGCAGGGTTGGGGGGCGGGATCGCAGAGAGTGGGTGGGGGGGTTGGGGAAGCCGCCAGGAAAGGCCGGGTTGGGTAGAGGGCTTGGGGCCCTGGAGTCCAGGAGAGGAGACAGGGGTGTCCCCACCGAGGGGGGATGCGCCGGCCGGGTGGACAAGCCCGCTGACAGAGAACAGCAGGCTCTGAGGGGCTCCGGGACTGACTGTCCTGCCCCTCAGGGAGAGGGAGGCCGAGTCAGCTGTCCCGTCTCCCGGCAGCCTCTCCGCGCTGGGTCCCCTGGAGCAGGGCCGTGGCCTAGCTGCGGCGCTGACCACCATCCTGTGGGCTGCAGGGGCGGCTCGCAGGGCCACCGTCTGCCTCGTCACCCCCACGGCCAGCCACTCCGGGGACGATGTCATCGAGCGGGTGAGTGTCCACTTGGCTGTCAGGGCAGGCCAAGGGCTGGGCACTTAGCCCCAGCACTGAGTTCAGGGGGGCCAGGGCTAGGGCCGAGAGTGTCCCGTTCAGCCCATCCCTCACCTGGACTCGCACCACGCACACTTCTTAGCTCAATTTGGGTTGGGGGAGCTAAGACAGAGCCCCCCGGGCAGGGCAAGACCCTGGGCTTGATGCCTGGCACCCCTGAGGGTACTAATCACCACCATCAAGTGGACCCAATCCTACTTCTCGGGAGAAAATCTGGCTTAGTACTCAAGGTAGCAGACTGCTTTCAAACTAAGGAATGTGCAAGAAATGCTCAGGGCCCCCAATTCTACAAATGCATCTTGTGCGAGATAAGACAGTTTTCAGCAACATGTATTTGCAATAAGTGTGTAAAAAAAAAAAAACAGTTCCCTGAGGCATTAGTACCACTGCGACATCTCTCAGACGGTCACTTTCATCTTCCTTTTCATTTTTATCTCCCCTTCCTGATTGATAGCTCCGGCTGTTTGAACTCTCCGAGAGGGAAGCCACTGAGCAATTCATCTACGATCATTTACCATGTGTAAGTGTTTAAATGTGGAGATAATTCTTCCGGCTGACGCTGGCCCTTCTTTCTTTTGTGAAGTGGATCGCTAATGATGCTTGTTAAGGAAACCAGGTCACTTCAGGGCGGGGAGGAGGGATGGGCAGGACAGAGAGAAAGATGAACCCGCCTCGCCCTCCCACAACCTGGCAGGCCCAGGCCCTCACCAGCGTCTGTCACGGGGGGCGAAGCTAACCCAGGGCGCCAGACCACCGCGGGCGGTGATGGGAGTTAGCGGGGGTGGGGGAGAGATCACGTTCACGCAGAGGCATCTCATCTCGTGTCCTGGACAGGACGTGAGCAGAGCGGGGGACACAGTGCAAGAGGCAGAGCACACGCCTGCCGGGCGAGCCCTGGGGTTGACCCTAGCACAACCCCCGTCACCCCTGGGTGCGGCTCCCACAACCTCAGGGAGAAGCACAAAGAGCACGGCCGAGCAGGGAGCTGTGATGGGGCTGGGGCTGGAACAGCAGCACAGCAGGGAGGGCGTTTGTCTTGCACACGGCCGACCCGGGTTCGATTCCCAGCATCGCAGAGGGTCCCCCGAACACCACCAGGGGTGATTTCTGTGTGCAGAGCCAGGAGTAAACCCTGAGCATGGCTGGGTGTGGCCCAAAAGGAAAAAATGGAAAAAAGAGGTGATGGGTTTGTCACCTCCACCAGCCGCTGCCACCCTGGGCCCCCGTGGCAAGGACGGCTGGGCTCGGGCGGGGACTGAGCAGCCCCGGGAGCACTCCTGAGAGATTTCCTGGCACAGAGAGGGACAGGCAGGTTATTCTGCAGACTCGAGCATGAGGCTGCCACCAGGTCACAGGCCCAGGTCAGTCGGCCTCGAAGCAGGTCCACGGGCCTGCCATGACGGCTGCCCCCCTTCCAAAGTCACAAAGCCGGGCCCTGGGCAGGAGCCCTGGGAGCTGGGCTCAAAGAGTCACCCCCCACCTGCAGCCCCCCACCCGTCACGTGAACGCATGCATGGCCTGCAAGACACCTTCAGCCCCAGGACCCCCAAACCAAAGTCCACACACGTGGCGAAGGGGAAGGGCAAGGGTCGATGGCGGCGTTGACATGGGGAGCCCGCACGGGGAGGGGGGTCCCTGTGTTCTCCCCAACACCACATGGTCCCCTGGGCATCACAGAGCGAGACCCCAAGCACCTGGGAGTGACAAGAAAACAGAAACAAATGAAACCAACCAAAAGTCCAAGCCAGAACCCCGCCTTCAGCCCCGGAGACCCACCTGCAACTTCTGCCCTGGGACTTGGGGTGGGGGGGCTTGCTCTGCATCACTTGCCCTTGCAGTCACGCACCCCCCCACCCCCAGAGTCGCCACACTCTGGTCTTACCGTCCAGGCCCCGGCTTCTGGCTCTGGCTGTGTGGCAAGTCCATGTGTCAGGCAGACACCAGAGGCCCCGTGAGCCACCAGTCCCAAACCCCACACCCCGTTGGGGGTCTCTGGCAGCCGGACGGTCCTGGAGAACACGTTCATGCTGCTGGTCCACAACCGGCTCTGAGTGGTGTCGGTGGGGGGCGGTGACAGGGATCCACACGTGGCACCTGCTCCCTTGGCGCCCGCTCTCTGGTGCCCGCCAGCCACGGCGCCCATGCCCCCCCACCCGCCCCTGCCACCAGCAGACGATCTTCCCGTCTCCTCTCGGCAGTTCGAAGCGGAAGGGAGCCGGGGCGTCGTCCTGTTCCTGTGCAGCCTCGTCTTGTCCAGGACCCTCGAAAGGTAAACCTGGGACTGACAGGCGGGCATTTCCTGCCTGTCTGGGAGCACATCCCTGGCCTGCTGGCGGTGGGCCCTGGCCTCTGCCCAGCAGACGCCACGGTGTCGGCGCCTTCTCGCAAGCAGGCCGGGCCGTTGCTCTCGGGCATGCAGAAGCCAGCAGGGAAGTTTGCGTCTGCCTGGCCTGCCCAGTGGACTCCGCGGTCCTGTGGCCACAGTCACGGCAGGCCTTGCCACTGTGTGGTCACATGACTTTTCCTAAGTGAAATATTTTGGATAAATTGTTTATCCACAAGCAAAGGGAGATGCGACCTGGACCACCTAAAGGTGCCTATTTGGGAAGAACCGAAGGCCTAGAGAGGACACTGGTACTGGCGGCTCCCTAATATGCCCCACGCAGTATAAAGATGGGGATTCCTGGGTGAATTCCAAAGGAAAGAAGGTCTTCACAGCACAGCAGGCAAGGAAGACTTCCTGGAAGAAGCAAACATTCCCCCCCCCCCCCCATACTCTAAATGATAGGAAAGTTCTGAGAATCTCAGAGGGGTGGAGAGCCCCAGCCTGGAGGAAGGAGCTTCAAGCCCTGAGAAGTGCTCCTGAACCATGCCTGCCTGCTTGGCATTGTTGTGTCTACACGGGGGGTTCCAATAGCTGCTCCTTAGACTGGAGACTGTTTGCAGTGGACAGAGGCTGAAAGCCGCAGGTCTCCACTGTTCGTTGCTGGACCCCCTTCACATTAGCACTCGTTCCCATCTCGGCCCCTTCCAGAACATGAATGTGGGGGGGGGGGGGGGGAATGCTGCAAAATAATTAGATCCTGATAAGAATAAATAAATAAACCACTATGTTCCTCCCTAGCCCTGAAGCCCCCACATTCCAGGGACCCCACACTGGGCCTGAGGGAGCCCAGCAGAGCTATTCCAGGACCCCAAGTCCTCAGGCCTTTGCGGCCTGGCTGGAGTGACCCAAGTCCCAGCTGAGCCAACGCTCGTCCTGGCCCCAGCTGAGCAAGCAAGGGGGTCTCAGCAGCGGGCAAGGAGGCAAGGGGACCTGGCGCAGGGCAGAGGCCACTAAGCCCTGCAGCGGGAGGATCGCAGAGCCTTCCCCTTGGGGGGACGGGAGTGACGGGAATCTGATCCCCGCCACCTGGACTCCTCACAGGGACATCTCAGGCAGGTTAGGGCCACGTCCGGGCTCGGGGCCCTGGAGGTTCAATCCGGCCCCCTGACACGGAGACCACCGCCCCCCCCCCACCCAGGGGATGGCAGCCTGCCCTGCCCCTGGACGAGGCGGCCCTCTGCTGTTAGGCGCCTGGCCCCGAGCATGACGCCGCTGGACCAGCCCCCTGTGGCGTCTTGTGTCACCGCTCCTCACCGTGTCCCTGTCACTGCGAGCACACAGCACACACAGGGGCGCAGACACGGGCGCGGAGCCATGTGCCCCTGTGTCCTAGGCTGCCCTTCCTGAGCCACTGTCCCCAGGCGGGGTGGGAAGGTGCCAGGCGGGCAGGCCTGGGGGGGCGGGCCTGCTGCTTTGCTCTGATGGGGACGTGGCGAGGCTGCCGGAACCCTGGAGCCCGCAGCTCTGCCTGACCTTTGCCCTCCCCCCTCCGCAGCCTGCAGACGGACCTGGACAGCTCCACCCCGCACCTGCTACGACCCCACGCCGGCAGCTTCCTGTGCAGACAGGTGGGTCGAGAGATGCAGCTCCCTGGGCCAGAGCCCGACTTCTCCCCTTCTGGGGAAGAGGAACCAGGACAAAAATGCTCCCCAAGGCCGTTCCCAGGAGACACACACACACACACACACACACACACACACACACACACACACAGCACACACACATGCATGTGCACACATGCACACATGTGCACACACGTGCATGCACACACACTCACACGCACACACACGCATACACATGCACACACACGCACACACACGCCCTCCCAGTTCCCTGACCTTTTTGCTTCACCCCTCAGGGCGTCCCACCCCCCAGAGCCAAGAAATATTAAACTAGGGGGCTGGAGCAATGGGGAGGGCGTGTTTGCCTTGCACGTGGCCGACCCGGGTTCGATTCCCAGCATCTCATAGGGTCCCCTGAGCACCGCCAGGAGTAACTCCTGAGTGCAGAGCCAGGAGTGACCCCTGAGTATCAACAGGTGTGACCCAAAAAAATAGAAAAGGAAAGAAAGAAACATAAACTCCCTGATAAAGGGAAGAGAAAATCCTGCCTCAAAAAAAAGCTGAGCTTGGAGCCAGGGTCAAGGTCCCAGGGTCAGGACTCCCGCCTTGCATGCATGAGGTCCCAGGTTTGATCCTCAGCACCAGCCCCGAGTGGCCTGAGTACCTCCAGGTTATGTCCCCTGGGAGCACTGGGAGTGAGCCCCAGATCCCCCTTGCTCCCAAATTTAAAAATCAATCAAATTACAAGACTCATCTGAGTTCCTTTTTTTTTTCTTTTTGGGTCACACCCGGCAATGCTCAGGGGTTACTCCTGGCTCTGCACTCAGGAATCACTCCTGGCGGTGCTCAGGGGACCCTCTGGGATGCTGGGAATCGAACCCGGGTTGGCCATGTGCAAAGCAAACACCTACCAGCTGTGCTATCACTCCAGCCCCACCCCTGAGTTTCTTGCCCCTCTTCCTACTGCTGATTTGGTGGGGCCAGAGCAGGGACCCAGGGCCTCGTGCGCACAGCAAGTGCTTCTGAGAAGCTCCTGAGCCTTAAGCCACAGCAGTGTTGGTGGCTGGGGCGGGGGCAGGCCGGCCTCCTGACGTAGGCCGATCAGTGCCCAGCCCCACAGTGCTCAGGGGCCAAACTCGGGGCCTTACGCCCACTGGACAGGTGTCCTACCACGTGTGGCCACCACCTGGGCCCCTGGAAACAGCATTTACAGGGAAGTGATGGAGGGGCGAGAAGATAGCAGCAAGGCATGGGTGATGCAGTGATTCGGCTCAAGAGGAAAAAAAACCGTTGCCTTAACCCTACCAGGGTTTGTGGCACACGTTTTCCAGAATTATATTTTACGTGTTTCCATTCATCACAGCGAAAGGCGTCCTTTTTAAAGGGACTCTTAAGGAGGGAAGAAGGGGCCGGAGAGAGTCCAGGGCTGACGGCACGTGCCTCGCACCCCACCGACCTGGTCCAATCCCCGGCACCACATGGGTCCCCAGAGAGTGGGCAGTTTGCTCCCGTGATCCCTGACCACAGAGCCAGGAATAACCCGAGCACTGCTGGGTGTGGCCCCAAACAGATCGAAGGAACTGCTTCTTTTTGTTGCTGCCTGAAGTCTGGGCCTCTCTCCAATGTGTCCCAGGCAGCGGTGAACCTGCTGCTGACGGGCAGAGCCAGCCCCCAGGTCTTCAACGGGCGCCAGGAAGGACCATCCGGGGACATGCTGCAGGGGGTGCAGGGTCGCAGCGAGGTGGGCTACCTGCAGTCGGGGAAGGACCTCTCGGAGGACCACAGACCTTCTCAGGTGAGGGAACCCGAGCGCCCACGTCCGACGTCTAGGGGCATCGCTCCCCAAAGGCGAGGAAGTGGAGCTCGTGGTGTCATGGTTTTCTTTTTCTTTTCTTTTCTTTTCTTTCTTACTTTTTTTGGCTTTTTTGGGTCACACCTGGCGCTGCACAGGGGTCACTCCTGGTTCTGCACTCAGGAATCACTCCTGGTGGTGCTCGGGGGACCAAATGGGATGCCGGGGATCGAACCTGGGTCAGCTGCATGTAAGGGAAATGCCCTCCCTGCTGGACTACCGCTCCGGCCCGTTGTTTTCTTAACATCACCCCGTATTTTCCTCTGGTCCTGGGCCCTGCCCACTGAAAGTCCATCTGGGGATCACCTAAGGCCTGAACACCGCTTAACACCCAAAGTCCCTGAGAGCAGAGTGTCCCCTCAGCCATCCTGACCATGGGGCAGGGGTTGTCCTGCGTATGGTGGGGAGCAGGTCCCCCGGGAAACAAAACTGCTCCCTGTGGAGCCTCTGTGCTAAAGGATGGGAGGGGAAGAGTCTCTCAAGGGTCAGTAGGACCAAATCCACTGGCACTGAATTCGAAGGCAAGAGATCTGGACGTCAAGGACCAGAGAGGGCGTCTCACAGTCCGCACTCCAGAGAGGAGCAGCGTCCATCTCCTCGGGGTCAAGAAGAGTGGTCTTAATCTGCAGACGAAGCAGGCGGGTTTTTGCTCAAGGAAAGAGACAGGATCAGTGCTGAGAGCTGGAGACCCAAGAGTGAGGAATCCCGGGAGCTCCAAGGCGGTCAGGGTCCCTCTCTGCGGATGTACACGTCGGGTCAGACCGCCAAGCCGCTCAAGCGTCCTCTAAGGCCGATCTGCGGAGCCTGAATGTCCCTAGGGTAAAACAAGCGGCTGTGGGGCAGAGCGAGAGGCAGGGGCAGAAGGCAGAAAGCAAAGGCCTTTCCCGCCGTGCAGACGCGTCTGCTTCTGAGGGTGGCAGGACACTGGCTGAACCCAGACGCTGACGCACGAAAGCGTCTGTTCCCACCGCCAGGGGCTAGTGCGGCTTTTCATTCCTGCTCAGACATGCACTGTTCATGCGCTCCCCGGGGAACGTCATGAATCCCACCTTGCCCAAAATCATACATCAATGATTGAAACACACACACACACACACACACACACACACGCACGCACACACCACCAGCATGTGCTTTGTACCCGTCTCTGTCACACACTTCAAGTTTGATCTGCAGGGGGAGTTGGATGGCCAGAATGGAGTTGGGTGGCCGGGTAGTACAGTGGGTAGGACACTTGCCTTAAATACAGTCCACCCAGATTTGAGCCCTGACGCTCCATATGGTCTCCGAGTCTTGCCAGGAGTGATCCCTGAGCACAGTCAGGAGTCAGCCCTGAGCACAGTCGAGCATGGCCCCCAAACAAGTAAACAATAATGGAATTCAATCGCTGGGTTCAAAACAAACAGACTTAGGGGAAACGCAGGCTGGTCAGTAGTTTCCATCCTTAACTGCTGAGAAACAGGAATAGGTGCGACATCAAGCAAATTTCTGCAGAAAGCTTCTCTGGGCCCAGGGCGCTTCTTTATTCTGAATTTTATTGCCCCCCTCCCCCCTCTGTTGCCGTGATGATGGTGGGGGCTGGCACACCCACTGGAAGTCCCAGGGCTCCCCTGCTTGTAGCGGGTGCTCCTGGGGACTCTTCAGTGGTCCTTGTGCAGATGTGGGTGTGGGTGCGGGAGATCACAGGCTCAAACAAGTCACCAAGATCCCCCTCAGCATGGGGCAGAGGGGCAGTGCTGGGGGGCTTGGACCTCCCGCCTCAACCCTGCAAAGCATATTGGCCCCGGGCCCTGCTCCCCTCTCTCTCTCACTCTACCTTGGAGAATCAGAGTGAATTCAGCGTGACTGAAATCATTCTCTCACGTAAAATAACACTGGGGGTGCTGGAGCAATAGCACAGCGGGTAGGGTGTCTGCCTGTCGGGTTCGATTCCCAGCCTCCCATATGGTTCCCCAAGCACTGCCAGGAGTAATTCCTGAGTGCAGAGCCAGGAGCAACCTCTGTGCATCACTGGGTGTAACCCAAAAAGCAAAAAAACGGGGGAGGCTGGAGCAATAGCACAAAGGGTAGGGCATTTGCCTTGCTCGCGGCTGACCTGGGTTCAATTCCCAGCATCCCATATGGTCCCCCGAGCACTGCCAGGAGTAATTCCTGAGTGTAGAGCCAGGAATAACCCCTTGCATCGCCAGGTGTGACCCAAAAAGCAAACAAAAACAAAAATAAAAACAAAAAACAAACAAACAACAACAACGAAAAAGTGGGGCCCGGGAGACAATAGTACCGAGATTAAGGCACATGCCTGGCATGCAGCCAACCCTGGGTCACTGCCACATACGGTCCCCCGAGCACAGCCACGAGCGACCCTGAGCAGAACCAGGAGGAAGGCCTGAGCATCACAGGCGGGGCTCCCGAAACCGAAGGAGTGATAACCATCCTGTGATTTTCCATTTCGTCACCACCCCAGAGACGGCAACTCCAGAAAGTAAACTTGGAGCCGATCCACACACCGCTGTGCCAACAGCTCTGCACAGGGGTAGAGCCTTGCTCCAGGCCAGCTCAGAGCCACCTGCAGTGGCCCTCGCCCTCTCCCTCACTCTCCTTTCCATCAACAGCATAGCCCAAGGGAAAGGAGGCCCCGTGCCTGTTGCTTCATGACGAGACCATCCAGGCCAGGGACAGAGCCTTGTGGAAGAGCACATGGGTGCCCCAGAGGCGTGAGGCTGTGAGTTCAAGCCCCGGTGCAGCCTCATGTGCTCGGTGCCATCAAGAAGGTGGATCTCCATCATGCCGGGCCCCTAGTGTGCAAACCTGGCATCACAGCCACCAACGGCAAAGGCACGGGAAGGGAGAGTGGTGGGGAAAAATTATTTTTAAGCAGAAAGTCAACAGGCTCCCCATGCTGGAGTCTGTGGAGTCTGGCGGGACCCATCCTGGTGTGTCTCGACCCAACCTGCATCTCACAGCACCCAGGGACATGAGAAGGATTTGGAGGAGAAAAAGCAGAAATGAGGAGGTCCCTGTAGACCCCAGAGGATGAGTCAACCCCCGCAGCACGTAGCCAGCACCCCCCAAACGAAGGCTCTGCCTAGGAGCTCTGGGATCTATTAGGGGTGGGGGAAAGTGACCGTATCCAGCAGTGTTCAGAGTATACTCCTGGCTCTGTGCTCAAGGACCACACCTGGCAAGGCTCAGGAGGCTCTTTGAGGTGCCAGAGATTGAACCCAGGCAAGCACCGCACCCTCTGTACCGTCCCTCCAGCCTTGGGATATTGTCCCAGGTGATTTCCGGTGCAGGTATGGGTGTGAGCATGGGGCACAGTCTGAGTCTGACACCACTGGCAGGGAGATCTCGTGGTTGTCACACCTGCTGGGCCCCTCTGATGCTCTACAAGGATGGAGAGATCAGCTGGAACGATGCTGGGAGCTCAGGCAGAGACCACCACTGTCCCGGGCACCCCCAACTGTTTTTTATAAGAGAGAAAATGAGAACAGGAAGTGGGTCCAAGGACACAACTGACATAGTCCTGCCTGCCCCCATACCATCTCCGTGACCTCAGACCTCGGGGAGGACTGGCCGTTCCCTGTGGCAGAGGCAACAGCCGGGCCGTTGGCAGATGGGCACACAAACAAGCTGCACCCGGGAACTGCGGGCACAGGCTGCTTCCACGAGCCCCTGGCCATGTGCGCACTGCCAGACACACCTGCCACACACGGGTGCCAAGGCAGGACGGAAGAGCACAAGGTGCCTTCCGGGAGGAAGAAGGACCCGTCCGCCCCCTGAGCCCCCCGCGCCGAGGGACTCGGAGGCCACAAGAAAGAGACGCTGGTGGCATGTGGCCCCAGCTGCAGGGCTCAGTGCTCGGGAGGGAACTTAAGAAGAAGGTGCTTTATTTATAGTGTGCTGGATCAACACGCACTCTTTCCTCTCTGTCATGGCAACACGAGGCAGCATACGCATGCACGCACACACACACACACACACACACACACACACACACATACACACACACACACACCACACACGCACACACTGTCTGCCGCTGGGGGAGTTTCGCCAATAAACCACAGTGAGGAAGCAGCTTCAGTGGGGAGAGGTGGGTACGCAGAGAAGCCAGGTCAACCCCAAAGCAGCCCAAGGCCTGAAGATATGGCTGAGTGCTGACCACAAGAGTCCGGCGAGGGGGCACTGGGGGAGGATCACACGCTTTCTGTATCCCTGGGACTCCTTGAGGCCTGGTGAGAGCTGCAAGATCCACCTCTTGAGAGTTGCTGCTATGGGGCTGGAGGGAGAGGACGGGGGTGGGGTGGGGTGGTTAGTGCTTTCTCTGCATGCAGGTTTGACTCCTGGTACTGCCGGGGGTGATCCCTGAGCACAGAGCCAAAGGTGACACTTGAACACTGCCAAGTGCGGCCAAAAAAGCTGCTGCCTGCAAGCACCGCGACCCATTCAGCGGGACCTTCCATAGGAGCCGGCTTGGCACACAGGCAGCTTTGTGCAGCCCTGGAGTGGGGTGGAGGGACGACCTCATTTCCTCCTCCTCGCACAAAGCCGTGTGGCGCTCTGAGTCAGAAAGGCCAGCCAGGCCCTCACTCCCCTCCCACTACTCACCTGCAGGGTGGCTGGTCTGCTCGGCCTCGAAGACAGTGTGTGAGGCCACCCCCGGCTTCCGTCCTACCCCATCTGCCCAGGCACGACTGGCAGGAATCTGCTCTGGTATCGGATCTACCCGAGCAGCCACCAGAAGTTCACACAGCATTCATCTACTTGGGGTCTCTAGCTTGCAGTTCCCAGTTGGTCATCCAGTTCCAGGCAGGCTCATTCATGTTCCTGCTTGACCGAGCCCAGGCTCTGCAGCTTCACGAGCCACAGCGCCATTAACAATCACAACAACTGCATCAACAATAGCATCAACAACCACATCAACAGCCTCCTGACAATGGCATCAACAAAAAACACATCAACAACTGCACCAACAATTTCATCAACAACCACATCAACAGCCTCCCTTGACAACAATTACATCAATAACCTCATTGACCATGGAATCAACAACCATATCAACAACCGCATCTACAATGGCATCAACAACATCTACAGCCTCCCTGACAATGGCATCAGCAACCACATCAACAAACTCATCAACAAGAGCATCAACTACCAAATCAACCGCCTCACTGACAACCACATCAACAAGACAAAAAGAATATCAACTACCATATTGACAATAACATCAACAGCCTCATTAACTAGAACATCAACAACCATATCAACCACACCAACAGCCCCATCAACAACGGCATCAACAAACTCATCGATGAGGGCATCAACAACTAAATCAACAGCCTCATTGCCAACCACATCAACAACAGCTTCACTGACAAGAACATCAACAACCATACCAACAACCACATCATCAGAGGCATCAACAACCACATCAACAGTCTCATAGACAATGACATCAACAACCAGAACCACAACAACAAAAGCATCAGCAACCACATCAAAAAGATGGAGGGTATCAAAGGGTAACTGCATTAAGAATCACACAACAAAAGAATCAACAAGTGCATCAACCACCACATCAACAACTGCACCAACAACTGCACCAACAACTGCACCAACAAGGAAATAAACCTCCACATCAACAGTTGCTGCATGTGACTTGCACCTGGAGGCAGGGCTCCACAGTTTTGGTTTTGGTTGGTTTGGGGGGTCACACGCAATGTGCTCAGGGGCTATTGCTGGCTCTGTGCTCAGGAGTGTTCCCTAGTGGTGCTCAGGGAACTGAATGTGGGGAGTCTGTCCATGCAGTTAAGTGAAAGGCAAGTGTCTTAGTTCCTGTACTGTCTCTCCAGCACTTTTTTTTTATTTATTTATTGAATCACCGTGGGAAAGGTTACAAAGCTTTCAGGTTTAGGTCTCAGTCATGCAAATATCAAACACATTTCCCTTTACCAAAACTTATTTTTTACCATGAAGAACCCCAATAAAACCCCGCCCCCCACCCCTCCCAGTCCCTGTGGGGCAGATGAATTCTAGTTAACATTCTATCTGCTTTGATTAGATTCATTGTTTCAATAAAAGATTCACCACTATTATTTAGAGTTTACCCCCCCCCCCGAATCAGACATGCTGACAAAGCATTGTGAAGTGATTTGCTTTCTACAGCTGGGTTCAAGAATTATATGTTGGTTTTGGATTTCTGCTATTTTACTTCTTGACCCTGGAAGTATTTCTACTGAAAATCAGATAGTTAAGAAATTGGTTTCTGTGCTCTGGAGTCGTGGCCGTGCTGGAGAGCCGCTAGTGGGGGGCAACTGGCGGCCTCGGTAGGGCGTGAAGGGCGGACTGAAACGCCCCCCTTCCCATGAGGTTTCAGTCGCCCCCACACCCCCGGCTCATACCTGCTGTCCATAAGGCTCCCATGTGGCCGCCATCTTTCTTTCCAGAGGGAGGAGGGCGGAAGGGACCAACACCCTTTCCCCTCTGGGCAGACATGATGGCCTGGATTAACGCATAGTCCTTTTACTTTTCTGCTCCAAGCTGCTGGGTTCTGCATTAAGTCCTTGTGCTTCTGGGGCTGTGGCCGTGCTGGAGAGCCGCTCATGGGGGGGCAACTGGTGACCTCGGTAGGGCATGAAGGGCGGACCGAAACGCCCCCCTTCCCATGAGGTTTTAGTCGCCCCCAGTCCCCACTTTTTCGCTATATTTTGTTTGCTTTTGTGCCACAAGTGACTGTGCTCAGAGCTTACTCCTAGTTCTTCATCGAGGGATCACTCTGGAAAGGCTCACATGGGGGGCAGGGCTCAGGGCAGGGCTCACACGTGGGCTGGCTATTTACAAGCCAAATACCTTACTCATAGTACTATTTATCTGTGCCTCCTCTGGGTTTTATTTCCCGCACAGTCCCCTCAAGCAACTGCCCCCATGTCTGATAAGTGAGATATTTGTGGTCTGCTAACCCACATGGGCTGATTTGGGTGAAGGGGAGCAAGGGGCAACTCAGGCAGCCACACAGATTTTGAGATGGGGTGCGAGGCTTGTAGCCTCCGAGCCAGGAAGCAGAACTGAGGCCTTCTCTTTGAAATATGACTTTTATATGGTGTTCCCCATGGAAGTCTGAAAGGTGAAGGCAGCTTTGATTCAGGTAGCGCTGAAGAATTTAAACAAGAGCCAAGAGACAGAATTAACAAGACTACCAAGAAATCAAGTCCTTCAGGTTTTGGTGTACAAAGCAGCCATCATCCTCCCACCATCCTCAGTTGGATTTCCCCCCAACTGAGCTCAGGACCCGACGTTGAGCACCGAGAAAACAGAAGTCACCCCAGAACCCCCCCCCCCCGCCCAGGAGCCACATCATGGCCACACCATCGCAGAAGTAGCTTCTCTCAAATCAGGTGTAAATTCTGGAGTTGGGTTTTTTTCTATGAAGCTCATGAAAATCTTTAAGCAGATTTTTAAAAAGTATTTTTAACACTCATGCATTTTCAAGACAATTCTTTCAAAGCCAGGTGCTTCCCAGCCTCTCTAAACAAAACAGTAGGTCCCATGACTAGAAATGCAGTCACCTATCACCATCCTCTTCGACGCTGACGAAGGGTGCAGGGCCCGATTCTGGCAGGGGCGCCCGAGGTTCAAAGACACCAGCTACGAGAATTCAAGGCTTGGCTGCTGGGCATCTAACGGGCACCTCTTCACAAGGGCCATACAGCCCACCTGCAGATGCTTGTATGTGGGGGGAAGGAGACCCCCCTCCTTTCCTTTCTGTACACAAAGTATTCTGGTGCTAGAGAGAAAGAAGCGAGGCTAAGGTGGCCCACCCAGGTTGGGTCCCTGGCAAAACCTAGGGTGCCCTGTGCCCCACCAGGAGGGAATGGCCCCTGAGCACAGAGCCAGGAGTAAGCCCTGAGCATGACTGGTCCAGCCCACCCGCTCCGGCCTCCACCCCAAATAACTCATCCTCCATTTCTCTATTATAACCATACCTTCAGCGCAATGGGCTGAGCACCAGCTCTGCATACAGGATGCCTGGGTCCTATCCCCAGCACCACACAGGCCTCTGATCACTGAGTTCAGAGTATCCCCTGAGCACCCCTGACTGCTGGAGCGATAGCACAGCGGGTAGGGTGTTTGCCTTACAAGCGGCCAACATGGCCGACCCGAGTTCGATTCCTCCACCCCTCTCGGAGAGCCCGGCAAGCTACCGAGAGTATTCGATATGCCAGACACAGTAACAACCAAGTCTCCAATGGAGACGTTACTGGGCCCGCTCGAGCAAATCGACGATCAACGGGAGGGCCTTTACCTTTACCTTTACCCCTGACTGCGGTTCAAAAACCAGAACGAAGTCTACGGTTTCTCTCGAATTGCCTGAACAGAGGGCCAAGCCACAGAATGAGATTCTCCACAGGGGAGAGGCGTAAAGACGCTGGCCCAGGAGTGAGGCCCCAGACGCCCTCTGTCCACCCAACTCTTCCCTTCCTGTTTGTGGCATCTCTCTCTTGGGAAGCCAAACCACACCAGTGCTCTCCCTCCTCAACCGGGACCCCAGAGTCAGTTCTTGTAAAGCTGACTTTTTTTTTTTTAATTGAATCACCGTGAGATAGTTACAAAACTTTCATGTTTGCGTTTCAGTCATACAATGATCGAACACCCATCCCTCCACTGGTGCACATTCCCCACCACCAATGTCCCCAGTGTCCCCCACCCATCCCACCCTCCCCCTGCCTCCATGCCAGATATCTCCCCCAGACTCTCTCTGCTTTTGGGCATTATGGTTTGCAATGCAGATACTGAGAGGCGTCACGTTTGGTCCTTACCTACTTTCAAAGCCGACGGTCTGAAGCTGCGAGGAGACCAACCACACCCCTTCGCCCAGGAGTCTGCTCCCTGGAAAGCGGCCCCTCAGCCTTCTTTCTGGAGGCCTGGGCGCCCGGCGGGTGGCACTCTCCCATTTATCCCGCCCCCTTGCAGGTGGGGAGCATGCTGCAGACACCCCGGTTTCCCATTTGGCTGTGCAACCTCAGCGGGAGTCACAGTGTCCTCTTCAGCACCAACAGGCAACTCGTGGCTGACTGGAAGGCGGAGCGCGTCTTCGGGCTACATTTCTTCGATGGGCACTTGGCGCACCTGACTGTAGGTGAGTCCCCCGGGCTGCCCCGGCCATGCTCTGCCAGGCTGGAGTTCAGGAGAGAAAACCCAGTTTTGTTGGCATGAGCAGTATGAAGAATATTAGTTATGTGCCTAAGGGGGCAGGTTGGAATTGGGAGGGAAATTGGGGATATTGGTCATACGGGTGATTCTGGAACACGAGATGCTTAAAACAGCTGTATGATGAACAGCTTTGTAAATCATGGTGGTTTGTTTCTTGGGTTATTTTTTTTTAATTTTTATTAATGAGACATCATGAGGTACAGTTGTAGACTTACAAATTTTTGTGCTTGGGTTTCAGTTATACAATGATCAAACACCCATCCCTCCACCAGTGCCATTTCCCACCACCACGGATTCCAGTATCCCTCCCACCCTAATCCCCCCATCCCACCCTGCCTCTGTGGCAGGGCATTCCCTTTTGTTCTCTCTCTCTCTCTCCTTTTGGGTGGTTTGCAAAAGAGGCAATGGATGGCAATCATATTTGATCCATAGTCTACTTTCAGCATGCTTCTCTCACCCTGGGAGGATCCTCCCAACACCTTTATTTGGTGCTCCCTTCTCTATCTGAGCTCCCTTTTCCCCTAGCACATGTGGCTGGCCTCCAAGCCATGAAGCAAAATTCCTGGTACTAATCTCAGCTATTCTTGGGTGTTAGTCTCCTAATTTGTTACTTTATGTTCCCCAGATGAATGCAATCTTTCTATGTCTATCCCTCTCTTTCTGACTCATTTCGCTTAGCATAATATTTTCCATGTAGTACCACTTGTATGTAAATTTCATGACTTAATCTTTTCTAGCAGCTACATAGTACTCCATTGTGTAGATGTACCAAAGTTTCTTTAACCAGTCATCTGTTCTTGGGCACTCAGGTTTTTTCCAGAGTGTGGTTTCTTTCTCTCTTTTTTTTAGCTTTTTGGCTTTTTTGGGGTCACACTCAGAGATGCTCAGGGGTTACTCCTGACTCTGCACTCAGGAACCTCTCCAGGCAGTGCTCAGGAACCATACAGGATGTCAGGGATCGAACCTGGGTCAGCCACATGCAAGGCAAACACCCTTCACACTGTACTACTGTTCTGGCCCCTCACAGTGTTTACAATAAAAATTAATTTTAAAAAAAGAAGAAAATGCCCCCTAGCTCACCCTGTGAAATCTCCCAACAGCCCACAGGAGGCTGGAAGCAGAGTACCCTCTCTTCACTGAGAATCTTAGTTTCCAAGCGGTGGAGGCGTCACTGACTTGGCTGGTGAGACGCAGAGCCAGAAGGTCCTTTGCGGATGTCACCTGGCTCATCAGAGATGATCTCTGGCCTTGGACCCCATCTCGGTGCCCTCCTGTGCCTCTCTCTGTCCCCCAGAACAAACCCCCTCCCGGAAGCGTGAGCCAAGGGGGCCCCTCCATTCCTTTGACAACACTGGGGGACCTGCACTCCACTCAACATGCCCCATTTTGATGCAGAACCCGCATTTGTGTTCCAAAATATCCAACCACCCCAGAGGACCCCAGGAAGCACCCAGATGCTGTCTTGAGGGGGGTAGGGTCGTCCAAATTGACAAGGGTGAGAATCGCCCCTGCTTCACCAAGGGCCGGGACACAGGGGGGGGACCTTCACACTCTCCCCCCTCTTATTCCCCCACCCCAGCCCCCTCTGTGGGGTATGCACAGGTGCTGGGGGGCTACAGGTCTCTGATCTCCCCCAGATACCCATGCTCACCCCTGGGAAAGCACACGGCGCGAGGAGGAGCGCAGGCCCGGGAGACGCTGCTCTCTGCTAGAGATGGCCATCAGGACCAAGTGGAGTGAGGCCAGCGTCCACTGGGCCGGACCCGCCCCCTCTGTCTGAGGAGAAAGCCCGGCTGGCTGAACCGAGTCTGAGGAGACCACCTGTGTCTGCAACCCTTGCCCTGACTGACACCCGCGCTCCACAGGGCCTCGCCCTGCTTCCCTCACGCAAATCACAGCCGGTATTTCCACCTGTTAATCCCACTGAACCACACACACACACACACACACACACACACACACACACACACACGCATGCACACACACGCAGACACACACACGCGCATGCACACGCACACGCACACGCACACACACATACACACACACACACACCACCTTGGGAGCTGTTCCTTCTTCACTGTGGAGGGGCTAAGTCTCTGGGGAACCCCGAGATCCGCCGCCCTGTGTGGGGCGAGGAACCGAGAAGGCGCCTCTGGCCTGGTCTCCCTCACAAGGGGGGAACGGGCGCTTCCCTCCTGCTGCTCTTCCCTCAGCCTGCTCTCCGCGGCTGTCCCTGAGGAGGAGGAGGGCGGCCGCTGCCCTCCCTGGAGGATGAGGTCACCGGCTGCGCATCATCAGGCTCCCAGTCGTGGCACGGGTCCAGCGGCTTCTTCCCCGGGTGCCGTCCTTCCCAAGGTCAGGCCTCGCCCGCCTGCACCAGTCATCACTTTTCCGATTGTGAGAAATGGGCCACCAGGGGCTCCCCGTTGTTGGTGGGGGGTCAGCCCTTAGCTGCTGGGGGGCGGGGGGGCCCGTGAGCAGTCTTCCAGCCAGAGCTCTGGGTATGGCTTTCTTTAGAAATTGGGTAGAAGTGCAGGTAGACAAGGAGATCTGGAGAAAATAGTCCATAGAGAATACACAGATTTCCCCACATTTTAAAAAAATGCAATTTGCTTAAAAAAAAAAACACACATACACAAAACTTTGCTTGTGGTAACATGGTTATAATAGTGTTGATGTCCACGGTTCTGTGAACTGCATCATCAGCACTGCCACGTCCCACAGCCTCCACCTCTTCCCTATATCCCTGGAGTTGGCTCCTCCTCCCCACCCACTCTCCCACCACTTAGCAATCTCAATTTTGCAACCAAAGGCCAAGGCCTTGTCCTCCTTCATTGCTTCTACTTCCTCTTTTTACTCTCTCATCCACAGATGAATGAGGTCAGCTGATACTTGTCCTTGTCTCTCTCGCTTATTTCACTGCATGGGGTGACCTCCAGTCCCAACCACGTTGCAGCAGATGGCAAGGGTTCATCTTTTTTAGAGCTGCATAGTATTCCCTGTGTCTATACAACAGATCTCCTTTATTCCAGTCACCTATCACCATCAGGCGGGTCATTCAGGTTGCAAAAAACACAAGTTCTATATGGCAACTTAATACCTCTATTTGCAAACCACAACACCCAAAAGGAGAGAGAGAGAGAGAGAGAGAGAGAGAGAGAGAGAGAGAGAGAGAGAGAGAGCAAAAGGGAATGCCCTGCCACAGAGGCAGGGTGGGGTGGAAGGGATGGGGTGGGGGTGGTGGGAGGGATGTTGGGACCATTGGTGGAGGGAAATAGGCACTGGTGGAAGGATGGGTACTCGACCATTGTATGACTGAAACGCAAGCATGAAAGTTTGTAAGTCTGTAACTGTATATCAGGGTGATTCACTAATAAAAAATTGAAAAAAAAATACAAATTCTGCGGCCAGAGCAATAGGACAGTGGGCAAAACATTAGCCTCGCACGCAGTTGGGGGTCCCTGGCATCCCCTGAGCACCTCTGGGAGTGATTCCTGAGAGCAGAGGCAGGAGTGAGCCCTAAGCAATGCCAGGTGTGGCACCCGAACAAGAAACAAGAGCAATGTGCAACTTCTGTTTATCAATGCTCCTCCTTTATTCAGTCAGAATCGACACGTTAGCAGAGAGCGGACCACAGACTTCAGAGGTCGATGTACACACGGAATATGAAGCAGACCGGGTGAGACAGACTCTTCCTGTTGTATGGCATGGATGGATTGGAGGGCACCATGCCTAGTGAAAGAAGTCACACAGAGCAAACCAGCCTGAATGACTGCACTCGTCTGCGATACAGAAGGAAACAAAAAATAAATGCCTTCAGCAAGACAAAATAAGCTTTTTTGCACTCAGACCAAATTAGCCGTTATCAGGAGGAAAGTGTCGGGGTGGGGGGCGAGTTGGGGGATGTGTAGAGCAGGACCAAGTGGCTTTATTATATGGTGAAGGATTGAACGGGAAGTTTTAGCGGTGGTGACCTTAATAGGGTGTATACAGATGCATACTGGAAATCTATGTGACGTCATAATGCAATGTCCGATAAGAAGATGAAACAAAATTGAATTTGACAATAAACCTACTATGTTCAAGAAAGAAAACAATTCCTTTGAGAATCTGCTCTTTCCCCATCCTGACAAGACAGCTGGGCAAGAACCATCTAGACCTTTTCCTAATGGCTCTGTTGGTCTGACAACACATAATCCTGAGACCTCACATCCACAGGTCAAAGGTCAGCTTGCAAAGAACAACTTTCTCTGGCCCATTGTCCAAATTAATTTGCTTAATGCATTTTCCCTTGGCTCAAAGAACCGCGTTCTGACTTAAGGAGCAAGTAGAAAGTGAAACTTCAAGGTGAATAAGAAATTACGTCAGAGAGACACCAATTTGGCTTGACCTGCTTGTTACGGGATCTTGATCAGTCGTGTTTTCATTTGGGATTTTAAACACTTCAGACAAGCAGCACCCGACTCTGATGAGTCTCAGCAATAATTTGCTTTGCCTAGGGTGTGGGATTTTTTTTGTCTTATTTCCAACCAACTGGCTGTGATCAATTAATTGTAAACACCATTGCACTCAGACCAGACAGCAGGTAGGGCATTTGCCTTGCACGTGGCCAACCCGGGTTTGATTCCTCCATCCCTCTCGGAAAGTCTGGCAAGCTACCAAGAGTATCCTGCCCGCACAGCAGAGCCTGGCAAGCTCCTCATGGCGTATTCGATATGCCAAAAACAGTAACAACAAGTCTCACAGTGGAGATGTTACTGGTGCCCGCTCGAGCAAATCAATGAACAATGGGAGGACAGTGCTACAGTGCTATTCCAACTAAATGGCCCTTTTGGAGGGGACTCCTGAGGGGCTTACATCAGGTCAGAGCAAAGGCTGGGCACTGGAAGGGCCTCGGAACCTGGGCGGTCCAGCACGAAAGATTCCGCTAGGTCCAGGACCTCTCAAGGCCAACCGGGGCTCCTCCGGTAGGACAGAACCCCAGAGGCTCCACAGGGAACCAACTGGGGTTCGGGAGAAGAAAGAAGGGCAGGTGGGCAGCTGGGAGAACCTGGCAGCATACTGACCCCTTCAAAGCCTTCTTGTTTCTTTGTTTTGGGGGCAACACCCGGAGATGCTCAGGGCTGACTCCTGGCTCTGCACTCAGGGACCACTCCTGGCGGTGCTCCAGGGACCATGTGGGATGCTGGGGGTTGAGGCTCAGTTGGCGCGTGCACTGCAAGGGTCCTACCTGCCGCACTACCTCTCCAGTCCCCCAAAGCCATTTTCTAATTGATTTTTTACCTTATCGAATCACTGTGAGATAGAGCATTACAAAGCTGTTCGTGATTGGGTTTACGTCATACGATATTCCAACACCCAACCCTCAACCAATGTAATTTCCCACCACCAGTGTCCCGTTTCCCTCCCACCCCTCCAAGCAACCCACGGCCCTCCACCCCCACCTGCCTCTATGACAGCCACTGCTCCTCCCTCCCTCTCTCTCTCTCTCCCCCCCTCCCCGCTTTCTCTCATCTTAGGCATTATGGTTTGCAATACAGATGCTAGAAGGTCATTATGCATATTCCTTTACCCACTTCCAACACTCAGTTCTTGTCCAGAGTGATCATTTCCAACTAATATTGTCATAATGGACCTTCCTCTATCTTAACTACCCTCTGCCCCCTACACCCTTGTGGAAATTCCCAACCAGTCCTCCTGGCCTGTTTTCTCTGGCCTTGGATATTAGTTTCACACTTATTTTTATATCCCACAAATAAATGCAGTCATTCTGTATCAGTCCCTCTCCTTCTGACTCACTTCACTCAGCATGATACTCTCCAAGCCCATCCATCTGTAGGCAAATTTCATGACCTCATTTTTCCTAACAGCTGTATTGTACTCCATTGTGTAGATGTACCATAGTTTCTTTATCCAGGCATCTGTTCTTGGGCACTCGGGTTGTTTCCAGATTCTGGCTATTGTGAAGAGTGCTGCAATGAACACTGAAGTTCTGAAGGTATGTTTTGGGGCCCCCAGGGTATATCCCCAGAAGGGGTATTGCTGGGTCATATGGAAGCTCAATTTCTAGTTTTTTGAGGAATGTCCGTATTGTTTTCGAAAAAGGCTGGACTGGTCGACATTCCCACCAGCAATGAATGAGGGTCCCTTTCACCCCACATCTGTGCCAGCCATCACTGGTTTTCTTGTTCACTTGGATGTGTGCCAGTCTCTGAGGTGTGAGATGGTATCTCATTGTTGTTTTGATTTGCATCTCCCTGATGATTAGTGCTGTAGACCATTTTTTTCATGTGCCCTTTGGCCATTCAAATTTCTTCCTTGAGAAAGTTTCTGTTTATTTCTTCTCCCCATTTTTGGCTGGGGCTGGATTTTTTTTTTCTTGTAAAGTTCTACCAGTTTCAAAGCCATTTTAATTGGCCCTACTTCCAGCTTTCTGTTCCTACCCTACTTTCCCTACGTTTTTATTTATAACGCATGCTCTTTTGCTGTACTTTAGATATTGTTGTAATCTGTCCTAAATTAGTCATAGAACAGATATTTTTTGAAAACCTACACTTTATACATACAATCATCTTAATTTTGGCCAGGAATGTGGCTCAACTGTGTTGAGCCTGACTCACATGTGTGAGCCCCTAGGTTCAAACCCCAGCATCGCACACACAAAGCACCACAAAGTATCACACAAAGTAAAATATACGAAGGGGAGAGGTCAGAGCAACAGTACGGGGGGGGGGCATCTGTGTTGCGCCAATCCCCGACTTCCCAGATGGTCCCCTGAGC